CCCCAGCCAGCATGCTGGCTGGGGAATTCTGGGAGTTGAAGTCCACTCATCTTAAAGTTGCCAAATTTGTAAAAACAGCTGTAGACTAACCTTTCCCCATCAAGGGCTTTCCAGGTATACTGGATTACACTTCCCAAGAACTCCCATGTTGGCTAGTTAGAGAAGGTGGGTGAAGTTACAGCAGAGTAGCTACTCCTCGCACCTTTCCTTAAAATTTGCTCAGGTAAATGCAACCAATTAATGAGTACAGATACTTCAAGGACTGCCTCCTCCAGGTAGAGGTGGTCTGGCTCCAGGTGAGTATGTAGTGAAGCATGCTTATGGTCCCGTCCTACAAGAAGTCAAGGGGACACGGTCGAAAGGTTATCTTTCTCCGTGATGACCCTCATCCTGCGGCATGTCTTGCTTTCAGACTACACCTGAGCACCTTTTATGCTGGTATTTTGCAATAAGGAATGTAGTTTTCAACAGGTATTTGGAAGTTGATTCTTGAGCGATATTTGATTTGGGTACTGTCTATATGAGATTTTATGCTGACCAGGCTGCTATTTTTATAGGAAGTTGCTTTTTATCTTTTGGAATGATTGGGTAGAGTCTATTTTTAAAATTATTATTTGTACACCACCTGGAGTTTGGGAGCAGGAGAGTATCTCACCGCCCGTAAATGAGCAAACGAAGAAATATCAGGGTATCGCAATGCCTGAATTTTTCAGCTTGTAAGTACTTGTGCCACACATCCTACAGCCAGTGGACACCACAGGATAGCGTGCAGCCAGAAACAAAACAAAACAAAAATCAATCTTCTCTATTTGATATGACAACAGGAGATCATTAGCCTATCAGACTCGCATGTTTTGCTTATCATAAAATGTTTATATCTCAGCTCCTCTTACTTGGCCTCTCTAAGTTTGTTGCTGGCTATAACGAAGGCTTTGTGAATTCTGCAGGGATGCAATGTCACTTTGCAACAAATACTCTTCTGCACCAACGACTGGTGGAACACCTTCCCAAATTTTAATCTCACCTGATCCCAGAAAGCTTTTTTTTAAAAAAAATAAGAGCATCCCGATTGGATCCAACCAAAGAAACTATCTAAAAGAACATCCTACTTCTTTTGGCAGCCATCCTTATGATCCAGGGAGTTCAAAGTGTGTGGTCATGCACATAAAAAACAGGGCGGAGTTTCAATCACACCATGGCCGCCATCTTGACCTTTTTGACCCTAACCTACATGACATGCCATCCCCTACATGATGATGAGGTATAAAAGCAATGTTCTTATTCTGCTGTTGTTCCTCAACAAATGGTAGTCATAAGCATACTGTTTCTGAAGTTCTATTTCCCTTTATGCCCAATGCTTTGAAAGCCTTAAACTCTGTGGAATTATCTAATCTCTTTTAAATTGGTGGCTGGCTCTCTAATTTGTGCCAGTAAAGGTATACATCAACATTCAGCAAGCTGTTGCTCTCCAGAGGAGCCAAACAATCCAACTCTCAGGATCACCAGTCATCATTAAAATGCTAGCCTACTCCGTGAAAAGGGGCATGGAAAACAGAAAATTACAAACACCAGGAGGGAAATGTGACCTTGGGCCAAAGAAGTTGGAGCTTCAGGACCATGATCTACCCATTTTAGTTTTCACTCCAATCCCTGCATCCAGTCCTTGAAAACCCAAGTTATTTGAAAGGCAATGTACATTAAACAGAACAGGCTATTATAGCTACATGCCTGAGTATGGGGATTGTAGATTTTGCCATGTGTAGCAGAACCAAGACTGTGTACCTGGAAAAGGAAGCGTTGTTTGGTAGACGGTGCAGTTTGGCAGACAAAGATGTGAAAAGATGTCAAACAAAATGTGCTTTTAATTGAGGGTTGTTGTTTTTTTTGGATGTCATTTCATACTTAGACTCTGGTCACCCCATAACAGCAAGACAGCTAAAAACACCCTCCTCCTTTTGTACAGTTTGAATGGATTGAAGGATAACCCTAAACTCACTCTTCTGAATTCATCTTTGTTTTCTGCCGGCTGGGGAAATGAAAACAAAACTTAAAATAGAGACAGGCTCTGAAGATTGATCAACCTCTTCTCTCCGAAAACTGCCTTAATCCAGACCAGTCTTCCAGATGAGCAGGACTATCACTCCCAACGCCTCCATCCAGCAAGGCCAGTCTGGTAGAGGATGATGGGAGCACCAGATCTGGAAGGTTATCCTGGACTATTTGTTCATTCAGAGCAGTCTTTTCTTCTTGGGATATGACACAGCTCTTGAAAATATCAGACGTCATTTTGGAGCTGGACTAAGCATGAACTACATTCTGTTGTAACACAGTGGCTGAGATGAGCCCTGAAGTGAGGAGGTCCAGGTTCGTACCCCTGCTGAATCACAGCATTCACCTGGGGCCTTTGTGCCAGTCAGTTTCTCAGTCCAATCTACCTTTCAGGGTTATTGTTGAGGCTGATAAAATAAGGGGAGACCCTCCCCATGCAACCTTCAGCCTTTAAAGGAAAAGCGGATAATTACAGGCCACCATCCATAAAACAAACTCTGGGGTAGATCCCAGTTTCCCTTGCTGCCCTGCCACGCAAAGGGTCTGTGAAAAGCAACACCCCTACCTTAGCTGTTCCCCTGTCAGAAGGACCTCTGCCATGCACTCCAGCTCAGCTGCCCTTTGTTGCAGGTTGCCCAAGCTATTTTCTTCCATTGCTGCAACCAGCCTGGCCAGAAACACAAAACAAAGTGGGGGATGAAGGGTGACCCTATTCTGGAGGCATTTTTCAGCATCCCAAGGCTGGGAGATGCCCCCATTTCCTCCCTTTCAGCTCCCCGCTGGGCCTCTCCCAGCTGGGCTCCGACTTGAGACTCAGCCTCCATGGTCTCACAGGGCTCCTCTTTAGGGGGTAAGTGTGTCACACGGAGCCAAGCGCGGCTCTGCAGTCAGGAGCAGAACCCCAGACTTAAGGCAAGGCCTGCACGTCGCTCCCTTCTAGGAACTCCCCGGGCGCATACCTGCGTCTCCGCTCTGCCCCCCTGCCAACTTCGTCTCCGGCTGCCTCCTCCCCAGACCCTATTCTGGCCCTTTTCATCCCAAATTCTACCCGGTCGGCCCTCGCGCTCTCCGCCATCAGCAGCCTCTCCGCGGCGTATTCAGCCTTTCCTTTGACTGACCCGAGAAGCGCTTCTCTCGGACCCGCTGCCTTCCCGGCGGCGCGCACCGCAGCCCTGCACGGAGGAGCCAGTGCGGCGGCCCCCAGCGCCCCAAGGCGCGCAGCTCCGGACGCCCTGGGCTCGCACCGCCGTGGCCGCGCCAAGGCACGCCTCTGCCCCCGCTTCTTGGCCATCGCCCGCTCGAGAGGAAAACAAAAACAAGCCGCCACACCACCCTCAACGGGCCACCCAAGAGCCCTGGCGTTCGGCAACGCCACCGGGGCACCGTCTCCTCTGGGTGGGGACGGGAGAGTCCTAAGATGGAACGTCGCCCCTGCTTTTTACTCACCTGGCTCGGGACAGTCGCGTTCCGCCCGGAGATCCCGGGGAGCAGATTCCCCCGAAGGCTTCCTTGTTGTTGTGTGACAGGCAGGCTGCGAATGACACGTGGTTGCAGCAAAGCGCAGCCTTGCCAGCAGCGTCCCCCTCCGTCCGGCCCGGCGGCGAGGGGCTTCGCTGGGGCTGAAGGCATGCGCTCAGCGGCGGTGGCGGCACGGGAGCCAATTCGCCTCAAG